GACTTCAAAAGAATCCAGTTAACACTTCAAAAAATCCAGTGTCTCCGATGTTACACATGCACAATGAATTTCTAATTTTATTTTCAAATATTAAAAATTTAATTATAATTTTTTAATATTAGAAAATTAAATTTTCAAAATTAATTATTCTGTCAATTGGCTCATGCATTGTCTCCAACTTTACGCAAGTGTGCAAAATTTCAGAACGATTGGAAAGGTAGATGTGTGTTAAATATCGATTATAATATTTGTAGCAAACAAACAACAAGAAGTGAAGTTAAGAGAAGTGTTTTAATAAAAATATTTCAGTTTATAACCGTACAGGTGTAGTCACATACATAACAAATTTGTGTTGGTATAGGCACAGTACAATTTAATAGTAAACCTATAATAATATTCGAGGCAATAACCGTACAGCTGTCTTCCCATACACAACAAAATTTTTTGGTATAGGCACACATCAGTTTAAAAGTAAACCTAAAATAAGATTTGATGCAATAAACATACAGCTGTAGTCACATACAAAGCAAATTTATGTTGGTATATACACACTTCATTAGTGTAGCAATCAGCCTCGGTCACGACTCGGTCATCCCACACAACTGCCATTGATATTTTGTTGTGTGCGTCGTGGCAGCGGGTGGCAGCAGCGGTGACAAGCTGGCGCCTCTGGTCCTGACTATCCCAGTGAAAATTTACAGACGCGGCAGCTTCTGATTTGGACTACCAGAAGCTGGGGCGACTCTGAATTTTGTTACCCAGTGAAAATTTACAGACGCAGCAGCTTCTGATTTGGACTACCAGAAGCTGGGGCGACTCTAAATTTTGTTACCCAGTAAAAATTTACAGACGCGGCAGCTTCTGATTTGGGATACCAGAAGCTGGGGCGACTCTAAATTTTGTTAGGGTATGGCATCAGGGGCGGCGCGGCTAATTGCCATGACTGCTTCATGTCGTGGCTACAGCTGGCGTCATGATATGTAATTATGAGGTGTCATTATGGCGTCTCGTTATATGAGGTGTCACTGTGACACGTCATTATGGCGTCTTGTTATGAGGTGTCACTGTGACACGTCATTATGGCGTCTTGTTATGAGGTGTCACTGTGACGTCATTATGACGCATCATTCTAATAGAACTAAAGACTTATTAGTGCAGTTCTTTTTTTTCTTTCTAAAACCGAGTTACTAAAAGCTGCAATATGGGGGAGTTATACCTGCAATATGGGGGAGTTATACCTGCAATATGGGGGAGTTATACCTGCNTCTTCCCCTTTTTTCACCATTTCCTCTTTTTCCTTTCATTTCTCTTAAACTCCCATGATCCTGCCTCTCTTTTTCCGTCTTTCTTCGCTCACTCTTACCCTCTCACTCATTATTTTCTACTTTTTTCTAATGCTCAATCTCCATCTCATTTCCTTCTCCTTTCCCCTCTCATACTTTTTACATTCTCTTCCATCCTTCTCATATTTCTTCTCTTTCTTTTCCCCCTCTCCTAATACCTCCCCTCTCTTCCCTCTCCCCCCTCTCTTCCCTCTCTCCCCCTCTCTTCCCCTCTCTCCTGCGCTGTTGCTGGCGGGAAGTCACCAACCCGCCAGCGCGCCGTAACCGGACACCTGTTGTGGCCCTCGACGCTCGTAACGGATCTTAACGCTGCCACAACAGCGCCATGAGCGTCGTAACGCGTCTAAACGCAGCCACCACAGCGTCGTAACGCGTCTAAATGCAGCCACTACAGCGTCGTAACGCGTCTAAACGCAGCCACAACAGCGTCGTAACGCATTTTGCTCAACATATTACCATCGTTTCGTGACTAAATCAACCGGTGTTTTAGCGCTGGTTGGTATGGGCAGAATGGAGGGGTGGAGGCTGTCTCTTATACACATCTAGATGTGTATAAGAGACAGCATGATGGGTGTCGTATCATACATGTTGATACACATGATGGTGTCGTATCATACATGTTGATACACATGATGAGTGCCGTGTCATACATGTTGATACACATGATGGGCGTCGTATCATACATGTTGATACACATGATGGGTGTTGTATCATACATGTTGATACACATGATGGGTGTTGTATCATACATGTTGATACACATGATGGGTGTCGTATCATACATGTTGATACACATGATGAGCGTCGTATCATACATGTTGATACACATGATGGGTGTCGTATCATACATGTTGATACACATGATGGTGTTGTGTCGTACATGTTGATACACATGATGGGTTGCATAGAGATGCATGTGATTTTGAGCGATCATGTTATTGAAAGATAATTAAAAAATCTTTCATTTTGAACAATAAATATATTTTGTCCCTATGATGCCAGTAGACTTAATTGTTTTAGTTTCAAGAGAAGCGTCTTCTAAATCCGTACTTTGAATTTAATAATGAGGATGTTTAAAATCTGTAAAAATCTCTACATTAAATTTAAAAATTAAATCTCTACATTAAAAATCTCTACAGCCATAAATTTGGATTGAATTTCATTAAAGTCGATGAGAAGGAAATGCATTGAAGCAAATTTATTTGAATTGATTATTTACCGAGCAATTCAATTGTGTTGTTCTTCGGTGGGCATACTTGTATATGAGGGATTAAATACTTTAGACAATATAATCTATGCATTAACTTTTAATTAACAGGTATCGATGGTCATAAAGATATCGTCTCGAGTTTACGTTCCAGTGAACTATAATTAATTTACACCTAAAATTTAAATTAAATAAAACCCAAGAGCGCATTATATGTTCTATTTGAAAGCTACGACCGTTATTAGAGAAGGCAACATAATCAATAAGTTGACTTTTGATTAGCAGGTATCAGGGTCGGCATAAAGCTCGCGTCTCGAGTTACCTTCCAGTGAACTAAAATGCCCCCCAGCCGGCAGAAGTACAATGAAAGTACAATGAAAGTACAATGAAAGTACAATGAAAGTACAATGGAAGTACAATGGAAAGTTCGTTGTCGCGTTCACAGCCGCATTGCGAGTCCATGTCTTCATTGTACGGGCTGACACGGCGGTAACAGTGATACTTTTGCACCGCGCGGATCAGCGATACAATAACTCGGTAACTTATTAACAACTGAACGAATGTGCCTGGAATTAGATGTATATATTGATACATTGATATTGATGTATATCAGTATTGATAATGTAATTTAAGCTTCCTGTATGAAAATGTCATGGTTGAACTAAAATAGTGAAAGGAAATTTATTCACGCATTGATAACGAATTTCATTCACGCATAAATAAGTATTTTGCATAGATGTGATGAATTCAAGGCTTTAAGTAAAGTGATTCATGCTTTAATAGTTTCTCCTCTCAAGTCTGCCTATTTTACAATATTTAAGAGAGCAATTAACCTACGAAAAACCAGCCTGTACGGAATATTATTCGTTAGGATATTTTTTTCTGGCCTCACAAAATGAGGTATTCAATTCGTAATTTCTGCGTATCACAAACTGGACGAATTTATTATTTTTTCTCAAGCAATTTTTTCACAGACGAAGTTTGCGTTTCCTTTCTCTTACATAAACGCGTATGGGATGCGTTTTTCTGAATTGGCCAAGTACATTTATTTCAGGTGCAGTTAGTTTGTTTTCACGTGATTATTGTTTCATCGATAACATTTTCTGATGTTTTGCTGTTTCATTGCATTGCATGCTTTTGTTTGCTAATTCTATTATTTTAATTTTAATTGGAATAAATTATCTAAATTTTATCTTAATCATCACGTTTAACGTCAATTTCCATTTACTGCTATTACTTAGCTACCTATGCTGCTTCAAGTCTTTCCTCGCTTCTATTTTTCGTTGAGTGATGCGACATCCCGTCTCTCAGCGAGCCACGCTAGTAATCCGTCAGTGACAACCACTGCTTAAACTGTTATTCCTGCTCAGCTAGCGCATTTGAACTGTTGTTACTGCTCAGCCCGCACACTTAAACTGTTGTTCCTGCTCAGCCTGTACACTTAAACTGTTGTTACTGCTCAGCCTGTACACTTAAACTGTTGTTACTGCTCAGCCTGTACACTTAAACTGTTATTCCTGCTCAGCCTGTACACTTAAACTGTTGTTATTGCTCAGCCTGTACACTTAAACTGTTGTTACTGCTCAGTCTGTACACTTAAACTGTTGTTACTGCTCAGTCTGTACACTTAAACTGTTCTTACTGCTCAGTCTGTACACTTAAGCTGTTGTTACTGCTCAGCCAGTACACTTAAACTGTTCTTACTGCTCAGCCAGTACACTTAAGCTGTTGTTACTGCTCAGCCAGTACACTTAAACTGTTATTACTGCTCAGCCAGCTCACTTACCTTCGTTTTTCAGATTTTTCCAATTGTGTGTTAAGACATTGCGACATTTTTGTGCTCCAAGTTCATAAATCAAGCAAGGTAGCTGCGAAGCCGGGAGTTTATTTAAATTCAATATAAGGTGTAATTTGACTGGAGAGAGAGAAAAAGTACGGCAATAGCGACATTCAGCTTCATCATACATGCATGCATGGCGCTTAGAACCTGTTTCGATTAAATGATCTTGATGCATGTGCTTAAAGGCTATTAACACATAAAATTTACTTTGTAGGTTCTATTTGGTGGAATAATTATTCGACCAAATAGAACCTACAGTCATTATTACAAATATTTTTCATTTGTTGTGGTCATGATCGTCTTATTTGTGCTAACCTATTCGTCTTGTAGAGCAAAATTTGGCCTTTGGCAGTTTTTAGAGCCATTGTGGCAACTTTGTATATTCCATTGATTTATTTTTGTACTTGTGTTTGTGATGAAGGTATTCATGAAACAGGCAAACACATTTTTTCATGGTACCCTCCATACATTCTTTTTAACATCTCCCGCTCATTTATTCAACGCAGAATAACAATATTGGATTCTTAGAACATTAAATAAAGTAAGAATTTTCCATTTTATTATTTCTCACCTTTAAAAATTTTCAATTAGAATTTTTTTGTTACAGGTCAAAAGGCAGAGGCTGGACTCAGACGGGGAGCTCTCAGCCATCGTCAGGTGACTAAATTTTGGATAAACTATCTGTCATTCACCACTGAATTTCTTCATTACCTTTATGTTATTTATTTATTATTATATTTCTATTGTTTATGGTTCAAGTCGTAATTCAGTTATATTTCCAGTCGTTTTTTCTGACTCTGAGATGCCTTTGTTGTCTATCAAGGGAAATTCTTATTTTTATTACGAAGTTTCTATCCTATACTCATCAAGTTGATTTCGTCTGTCGCAAATTCTTGTTTTTACTTTTTTTAATAGTCTTTAACAGTTTTCGTTTTCTTATTATCGTGTTGGATTTTAACATAACCGTAAGCCTTAAGCGCCGTAATTCAAACTACCGTTAACCAATGGTACCGTAAGAAAACTGCCCCGAAAGCCAATAACCTTAACCATAATGTGCCGAAAGTCAATCGGTATGCGAATCTACCGTATTTTGAAGAGGTTATTTATTTATTGTTTTGTTTCTACTGTTTATTGTTCTCGTCACAATTGAGTTGTATTTTCAGTTGTTCTTTCTGACTCTGAGATGTCTTTGTAGTCTGTCAAGGGAAATTCTTATTTTGATCACGAAGTTCTTACCAACTCATCAAATTAAGTTTATTTCGTCTGTCGCGATTTCATGTTTTCAATTTTTTCTATAGTCCACAGCAGTTTTCGCTTTTTGATTCTCGTGTTAGATTTTGCCTCAACCGTAAGCCAGAAGCACCGTAATTCAAAGTACCGTTAACCAATGGTACCGTAAGGAAACTGTACCGAAAACTGGCCTGGTTCCGAAAGCGAAAGGAACCATAACCATAATGTGCCGAAAGTCAACCGGTATGCTAATCTACCGTATTTTGATGGTCCCTTTGATGCACAGCGTTTCACGGGTCGCTCCACATATCATCGGTGCGTGCACATGAAAATCATCAATAATCATCCAAAAATAGAAGTCATAGAAAAAATAGAATAGAAGTCAAGTCATTGGTCGTAAGTCAAAAAATAGAAGTCGAAAATAGACCAAAGAAGTCATTTGGTCTCCCACGCGGTGGTCCGCTAAAGACCCCCGCGACGCGCTAATGATCTTTTGTAAACCCCGCGCGCGGGACATCCTCCTCAGCCACCCACAACTGGGCGCGTACTGCTGAGAAGTTGTTACTGGCACTGTATTTATAATTATAGAGACTGTAATTTATAATAATAGAGACTGTAATTTATAATAATAGAGACTGTAAGTTATAATAATAGATGAGTGTTAAATTATTTGTATCCTTAATAAGCATTGCGGACGTAACAGACCAGGCCACACTGGAGCGTACTCGGTTCCGTATTCGTCCGTCAGGTCGGGTTCCTGATCTGAAATCTATTGTTACATGGGCTCGCCGAATTTTGCTCCGTGTGATTTTTTATGGGGTTATCTTAAATTAATCGTTTACAATGACTGTCCAAGGACTCTACCTAATATGATTAACAACATGTGCCAAGCCATAGCCAACATACCCCTGAATATCTTCAGCGAGTTGAACGGAACTTCAAAAATTAGACTAACTGAATGCATTGACAATGGGGGCTGTCATTTATCCGATGTCATCTTAAAGTAATTGATACAAAAATTCAGGTAATGTTTTTTTCTAATTCAAACTGCAATTATATCATACTGTTTCTTTTTTTTATTGAGCTTTCAAATCGGGAAGTTTCCGTGAATCACCTTGTATATTTTGCGATTATGTATAATTTTTATTTTGGTTGTTGCCGTCCTATTATAGTCAGATACCTTGTCTCAATTCGGGGAATGCTATTCAAAAACTACTTCGATTCTCCTGGACATGCAAATTTACGACCCTATGAAAATTGAATATCTCTGCACTGCATTGTCGTTGCTCCTGCCTTGTACCTAACTTGATTTTATTCAAAATAACTTTTTGACGAAGAATAATTTAAACTTGAATTACTAGACTTGCCTAAACTGACTGCAACAGTAAATAACCGTGAACAGTCAATAACCGTGAACAGTAAATAACCGTGAACAGTCAATAACCGTGAACAGTAAATAACCGTGGACAGTAAATAACAGTGAACAGTCAATAACCGTGAATAGTAAACAGCAGTAAACAGTAAATAACAGTGAACAGTAAATAACCGTGAACAGTAAATAACCGTGGACAGTAAATAACAGAGGAAAGTAAATAAGGGTGGACAGTAAATAACCGTGGACATTAAATAACAGAGGAAAGTAAATAAGGGTGGACAGTAAATAACCGTGGACATTAAATAACGGTGAACAGTCAATAATCGTGAACAGTATATAACCGTGAACAGTAAATAACCGTGAATAGTAAACAACAGTAAACAGTAAACAACCGTAAACATGAAATGACAGTGAACAGTGTCCGTAGAGTTGGCCAGTTTTCGAATATTATCGCGAATCACCGTCACAGCACCAGACAAGTTACGTAATTTGACCAGCAAATACGGATTTGCCTGACAAAATAATATTATTTTCCATTCGTTGAATCCTATTTCTGGGTAATAATTAACAACATCTGATATAATATATGATTACTTTATGATATCAAATAAATAACTGATAAATGATAACATTGTTATTTTAGTAGACCTTTAATCGGGTATCTTTGCTTGGCAAATTTCCACGGAACCGAGGTCGCTTATTTAGAATTATTATTACCCATAAAACTGAACTCAAGACCCAACATTGAAGCAAACATTGATGTTGAAATATGTATAATATGTATGCGATGAATATTAATATTACTATTTTGACTTGGAACTTTCGCACTTCCAGGACGCGAAATTGTTCCACTTTTCTGAGCTCACGTCCTTTCATTTTTATTGTCTTCTATTCGTTTATTATTCTTTATTTTTATTTATTATCCTTTATTACCATTTATTTTTTATTATTTTTTTCGTCCTTATCCGTCTCAGGGTAACCCCTTATTTCTTCTGTTTAATTGTCCTCCGCACTCAGAAAGGCAGCTTCTCTCGATTTTACCCTCGTGCCCTCACTTGAACAAAGACTTTAACCCTCACTTTGTTCGTCACTCATCAGGTGTCTGTCTTCTACTTCCTTTCTTTTTAGTAAGTCTAACATCTCTCTCTCTCCCATACACTCTTCCCCTTTTTTCACCATTTCCTCTTTTTCCTTTCATTTCTCTTAAACTCCCATGATCCTGCCTCTCTTTTTCCGTCTTTCTTCGCTCACTCTTACCCTCTCACTCATTATTTTCTACTTTTTTCTAATGCTCAATCTCCATCTCATTTCCTTCTCCTTTCCCCTCTCATACTTTTTACATTCTCTTCCATCCTTCTCATATTTCTTCTCTTTCTTTTCCCCCTCTCCTAATACCTCCCCTCTCTTCCCTCTCCCCCCTCTCTTCCCTCTCTCCCCCTCTCTTCCCCTCTCTCCTGCGCTGTTGCTGGCGGGAAGTCACCAACCCGCCAGCGCGCCGTAACCGGACACCTGTTGTGGCCCTCGACGCTCGTAACGGATCTTAACGCTGCCACAACAGCGCCATGAGCGTCGTAACGCGTCTAAACGCAGCCACCACAGCGTCGTAACGCGTCTAAATGCAGCCACTACAGCGTCGTAACGCGTCTAAACGCAGCCACAACAGCGTCGTAACGCATTTTGCTCAACATATTACCATCGTTTCGTGACTAAATCAACCGGTGTTTTAGCGCTGGTTGGTATGGGCAGAATGGAGGGGTGGAGGTTGAGGGTAGGAAGGGTAGAGGGAGCGGAGGGTAGAGGGTAGAGGGAGGGTAGGCTGGAGCGAGGGTAGGGTGGGGGATGAGGAGTGGAGTGGGGAATGAGATGAGGAAAAAGGAATGAGGGGAGAAGTTGGGGAAATAGAAGGGGAGGGAAGTGTGGGGAAGAGTGGTAGAGTTGGAGATAAGGGGAAGAATGAGGAATTATAATCTGAGTGGGAGATGCAGCGGGAGTAAAGCGGGTTATGAGGGGAGGAATGGGAATGTGATGGCAGGAGTAGAGGATTGATGGTATCATTAGGGGGATGATGGTATGGTTGATATTAGAGGGATGAATGGGGAATTAGTAAAAGTGTGGGGATTAGGAGAACACAAAAATGAATATCAAGACGAGAATGTAGGGAATTTATCAAATTTCGAGATGAGCTGTAGGAATTTAATGTGATCGGGATGATGGGTCGTGGGAAAAGAGGGTTCCGAGGACCGACGAGGGTAAGGGGTTATACAAGCATTACACTACTGTATATTATTATCTATTTCCTCTATTAATATATATCATTATTATTAACTATTAATATCTACGTTAATAAAAATGATGAAAATAGGGGCTGTTGTATAGGGAAAAAAATTTGCTAAATTGATTATTTTATGATGCGCTGCAAATAAAATCAGATGCACGCAAATTTTTGCTAGTTTTCATGATTTTAAACTAAAAACATTGCTAGCAGTTTGAATGACATATTGAAATCACAAAAATACCTAAATTTGTCAGGGGATAGTAGTTAAATTTTGTGATATAAAACCTCCGTGAAAAGTGATCTTTGAAAGTGGTGTGAGTGAGGGAAACTGCATGACGTGTGAGGGAAACTGCATGACGTGTGAGGGAAACTGCATGACGTGTGAGGGAAACTGCATGACGTGTGAGGGAAACTAGATGACGTGTGAGGGAAACTGCATGACGTGTGAGGGAAACTGCATGACGTGTGAGAGAAATTATAAAGCAAGTGAAGCTCAAGACATTCGTAGATTTTTTAATAAGATATCCGGGGGCTAAGTAGATTGCGGTAGATACTGCGATTCAAATTCTACGTAGATTTCGAGGGCTATAATGTACAGTAGATTTCGAGGGTTAAGTACAGTAGATTTCGAGGGTTAAGTACAGTAGATTTCGATGGTTAACTACAGTAGATTTCGAGGGTTAAGTACAGTAGATTTCGAGGGCTATGTAGATATAAGAACCACGTACTTTTTCAGCGACCGCGTTTAATCAAAGCTACATATATCCGAGGGCTACG